GCCCCAAAGTTTTCATTCACTGATTCCAGGAAGGCCCCTGTTGGCTGCCTACCCTTTGTGTATGCCTTGTGTACACTATGTGATTATTATTACCTTTGCTTTGCTTCTCACATTAGGCACATTTTTTGTACAGGCAGTAACAACTGTATTGGCTCGGGTGGGTCTGGAGCTGTAAAGAATTTTGTCTCATTTTCAATTGTTGAAAAAATACTGCGATAAACAGACAGTATGTGAATGTGAATAAATACTGTGAGTGCTGTTATGACCGGGCAAGCTGGAGCTCTCTGGGGAAGGAGTAGAAAGAGTAGCACTGTCTGGGGCTTTGTGCTTCCACAGAGCAGGAGCACCCAGAATGCCTCAGGACAGGGGATGAGGGGGTTATGCTCATGGCTGTACACTTGTGAGTGGGAGTTGCAGCACTTGCTCTATCAAGTTAAGTACAGTCAGTCAAAAAGTTTGAGGCTGAATGGATTCAATCTTCGCAGGTTTGTCTAAGCTGTATAGATTGATCCAATAAGCAAGTGAACAGACATTCACTTTTTATTCCAGAGATGCAGCCACATGCTTGTAGTGGCCGAGGCCAGAAACCAGGATGTGCTAGAGCACACCTCCTTGCTCAGCTGGAACAGACAGTCTGGGTCGTGGCTATCCCACCTGCCCTGCAAGGAGAGGTTTGCAGGGGAGAGGCAAAGTATCCTGGGATGCTGGGGTACTGAGAGTTAATTTGAATCTAGAAGGGATCTGGGACAGAAGTTCAATAAATTGATTTAACCCAAATCAGTTAAGTCTGGTACTGCTGCCAACCAGGCTTATCTTAATCCGGTTTTGGCCATTTTGAAAGCAGTTTATGTGCACTGAACTTCTGTTGTGTTACAGATTTGAACCAGTTTGTTTGCAGTTTATGTCCCTGTGGTGCTCTGCCCCTGGCAGTGTTCTCCTGTGACTGCTGGCTGGTGCATTGGAGGGTTGGAGCTGCTGCCACACATCATACACAGTTGCTCTGGGACTGCCCTCCTAGTCACTCTCCCCTTTAGTGCAACTGGAGTACACAAAGCTTGGTTGTGTTTGCCTTTTTCACACGAGTGCTGGAGGGAGAAAGGCAATCCCTGTTCTTGCTTCTGTTACACCTGACATTTATAACAGAGCTAAGATACAGATATTAGCAGAGGAGAAGGCGTGAATATCTGCAGGTCACCATACTGGGACAAGGAGCTCTTCTCCTTTATCTTACTAAGCTAAACCTGTCTGGTCATCCCTACCATGATGATACATGTGGTATCTGAGCAGTAGCATAACGAGGGGTGAGAGACTGGGGCTGCAGCCCTGGCCACCCCCTTAAAGGGGTGCAAGAATAGCAGCTGCTGGCCCCATTAATGCCACAGCTGGCCCAGCCACTACTGCTTTGGGCACAGACCTGGTATTTACACCTCTGTATTTGAGGCTAGGAACAAATGTTGCATTTTTCCTGGTACAAGTTGTGTCTTTATTTGTCCCAGAACACAAGAATCCCAGTGTTGGTATGAACACACATCGTCCTTACAGTCAGGGTTTACTGAATAGCTGAATTCACTGTCACTTTTCTGCCATTGATTCAATGATGCAATCCTGGGACAGCCATTCAGAAGTACTTTGTGATGTCTCAGGACAAACTGATCCTGTGAATCTTTTTAGGATTTGTTCTAGGACAACAGACACGAACATCTGAATGATCACACTTTGTCCTGGGATAAAATGTTTTTTCTCAGAACAATGGAACATCTGCTTGTAGCTGGAGGGCCCAATTCAGCCCGCATCTAAAGAGAGAAGTCACTGTTACCATCTAATGAAGCTTGGAGTAGCATTGCTGCCTGCTGGCTAACAGACTTAGCACAATGAATGCATGTGTTTCAGTCAGTTTTCTAGAGGTTGTGCATGCCCATTATAACAATGCTACAAGAACTGGCACCTGGCTGGTAGTTATCCTAGTGAGTGAAATGCATGTGATGCAGAGTTTAAGCCATCTTTTTACTTTGGAAGAGAGTCTTTCCAGAGCAAAGTTGATGCATGTTGTTGGAAACAAGAGATGCAGGGCAGAGTTGTTCTGTGAATAGATGGGGGATTTAGGCCTCAGTCTGTCAGTCCCATATCTTTCAGAAGGTTCTTTTTTATATATATAAAGTATAAATCTGTGTAACACTCCCCAGCTATTCTTCTGTCAGTATTTCTGAGTTCTTATCAGTTATTCTGCTAGGTCAGGACATGACATGAAAACAAATATGTGACTATTTGTCCAGAACAAATAGCTAAACTTTCACCTCCTAACAGCCACAGGAAAATGTTTTGTAAATGCATAATAGAAAGAAGATGAGCTTAGCAGGCCAGAAGTCTTTATTAAAGCTGCAATCAAAATGAAGATTCTTTTGCTATTTCTGAGCCATCTATCTCCACTTGACCCACAGTAATCAATGACAAAGTTTTATGTGTTTTAACAGTCAGATATATAGAGGGGCTGGAATGAATCAGTCAGAGCTAAATGCAACAGCATTTTGCTTTTAAGGGGTGCAGCTGAGCTTTTTCTTTGGAAGATGACACATTTCTGAAGGACACTGTAGATTTCATCAGTGTAAAATACTAGTGGGATCATCAGCTATGGACCAGCAAATTTGTTTTTCTCAGGAATTTACATAGCAAGGTTTGGTTGAAATAAAGCATCTGGTATTCCATGAGAGACTGCTTTTACATACTTTTTACAATGGACTGAGGAACATACGAGTTCTAGTGACATAGTCAAGGTCACACAGCACAACAAATCAGCATCTCATCAGAGGTTAGAACCCAAGGTACTTCTGAACCCCCTCCAGTCACCTCTGGCAGCTAGACTACACAACCTTGGATTTCTCTAGCACACTTCTGATATTAAGGTGTGGATAAAAAGGCAGATGGCACTATGTTCTGAGCAACCCTTTATTTTGCTTTAGTCACTGAAAGTAACAAATTAAAGTATAAGAACATTGGCTTTTACATCCGGATGCAGGTTGTTCTGCATGTAAAGCTTAGAGCATCATTTTCTGAGAGTGTTAGCAAGAAGGCTACTGAGGCCCAGACCTCCTACACATTCCCTGAGCATCACCTTTTGTACAACAGGGTAGCTGCTGGGATGTAAGGGGCAGTGAACATTTTTTTACATAGATTTTTAATGAATTGGTTTCTTTTTCTTTTATTTCTTTTATTTTTTTGTGATTTGCTTTTTCCTTGTAGATTCTCCAGAAGTGTTAAGCTGCTCATATTTTGGTGCATTGTGTTATGTGCTGAGAATTTTTATCAGCTGCCCTTGTGCTAGAATGTGGTGGAAATACAAATGTATCTGAAAAGCTGAGGTTATATACACAGATGTACAGAGCATCAAAATGAACTGCTTTCATATGGACAGGAAACAAACCAAAGCTGAGTGTGCATCTTCATGGGGTTCAATATATCAAACCGACAAGGACCCAAATGCATTATTATTAGCATTAACTCTTATGACACTGTTTTTTTTAAAAAACTTGGCTGATATATAGGTTACAATAAAAATGAACTACATATTTTTTATCCTGAAAGGGGTTTGCTTTGAAGGGTTTGTTAAATTGTCTGCAGGTATAAGTTCTGATCAAATGGAAGAAATGCTAGGATCACTAGTACATACTGAAAGAATTGGGGCATTGTTGGTATGAAATAATGCTTCGTGCTCAGGCCAAGATAGTGGAAGTCAAAACCCATACTTCCAGCTGTTACTGAATTACACTGTGACCATAGATAAGTCACTTAACTGGTCTCTGCCTCAGTTTCCCCATCTGTAAAACAGAATATTTTCCAAGCCCACAGAGAATTGTGCAGCTAATTATCCCTTAGTGCAAATTTAGAAATCCGTAAATGATACAGAACCACTGCATGTCTGTTATGCAACGTGACTGGCTACAGGATGGTTACTTGGGAAATCTACACCCTCTATGCATCATAGAATGGCTGGTTTTGTAGGTTATGTAGCTCCATTTAGCACATTCCAGCAGAGTAGGCTGTGGTTGTAACAGCTCAGTGGCTGTACCTGGTTCTGGGTTGGATGTAGACCCTCTGTCAGTCCTGTCTTATCTGGGGTTTGCACAGAGGTTGCAGATGTGACTCAGAGCTGATAAAGAGCTTTGAGATCTGTAGAGAGAAGTCCTAGAGAAGCACAATATATTATCCCATATATATTAAAAATAGAAAATGTTGCTAGGGGCAGTTTTATGTTCAGGAGCAGATGGCAGGAAAAGGATCTTCATTATTCCTATCCGAAGGAAGATCAAGTGCTGGAAGTGACAAATTGAATCTTCAGTGGAGTTACTGGTGCTGGGTGTTTACAAAGTCTCCAAGATTGAGTGGGAGGCAAAAAGGAATTAAGCAATGTGTAAAAATAAACTGAACAAACAACTAAAAAAAGCCCCCACCCCAACCCCAGCTGTCATGTCGAACCAAGTGAAAAGCATGATGGCTTTTAGCATTGGTTACTGTGGACAAAAAATGCTGACTCTGAGCAGCTTGACACAGGACGGGACAAACCTGTTTTAATTTATTTCTTATCAAAACTTGTTTTCCTTTAGGTTTTAGTTCTGTCAGCAGCAGCAGCAGAAAAGCAAATGACACACAACTTGTTGGAAATTGAACTTCAGCCTGTTAAAATAATAATAAAAAAGTGGCAATAAAAATTCTCCTTAAAAATGTCACTTTAAAAATGTCTGCTGTTTGTTGTAAAAACATTCACATTTATGTAGAAATATTAGATAAAGGCCTGATCCTACAAAACAAGTCAGTATTGATTTTCTGCTGCATGTGATGGTGACAACTGTGATATGGCTGCACAGAGAAAAAAACACTATGGCCATCACCATGGTAGCTATTGACAGTGTTGGTGTCAATACAGTACCCCGTGAGTAAGAGCTATAGGGTTAACTTCCAGAAAGAACGTTATCAATTTTATAAGCCATTGTATTTTCTTCATGCAGATCAGAATGAAGGATTTCACTGTAGGGAAGAGTGCAGGATCCTTGGTCACTCAGACAGATGCTGGATGCCCCGGAACTCTGTCCCCAGTCGTGCAAAATCCCCTGAGCGTGGAAGGAACGTCATTGCACTCTCTATAGAAGCTACCACTGTGGATACAGAACCTTATGAAGACTGTAGTACAAAAAGAACTTTTGCAACATTTGGCAAAGAAGGGAGCGAACCCCTCACTGAGGAGCGGGTTGTCAACCTGAAAGGCAAAAGAACAGTGGATCTGCCTGTCTGCAGCCCAAAGGTAAATGGTGCAGTCCGTGAGGCAGGGAATGGCTGCGAAGCCATGAGCCCCGTTACATCACCCCTCCATCTGAAGAGCCCCTTGTCTAGCAAACCTTCAGTGTCCTATAACATAATGCACTGCCCAGTAAACCACGACCTGGAGCAATTTGTAAACAATGGCCCTTCTCGGCCTATGGAGGCAGAGCCTAGGGGGGCAGACAGTGAAAATGTAATGCATGAAATTAACCCACTTCTGCAAGAATGTAGAGAAAAGGACTCTCCAGGAGTGAAGAGACTAAAAGACATAGTACTCTAAACAGCACCATATAGCAAGGAGAGATGACACCACTACAAACGCATACTGTTTTTAATTTCTGACCAATGGTTCACAACTTGCTGTATTTAAAAGCTTTCCCTAAATGTATTGTTTATAAATGAAGCTATTGTTAATGTGACAATCCCACTTGTTTCTACAGGCAGCAGGGGTGTTCAGTTTAAGCAAATTAGCTCATTTTTCTTTTTCATGGCTGGGGTGGGGCAAAGATAAGTTCAGTTCAGTTGTAAGAAGTGTTATGTATTAAGTATTTTGAATTTATATATTTTTATATCTCAAAACTCTAATATAAATTACCATTCTTTGTAAAGGATTGAATTGAAAACTTCTCCAGTCATCTTTACTAATCACTCTGACATGGGCATTTCTTGTGTATAACTGTTAAAATAGCAATTCAGTGACTTTTAATATTCATCCAACAAAGTTGTTTGTACTTTTAAAATGTTGCTACTTTGCTGTGGACACCCCTGCATTAAGAATCCTTTTGCTGTCACATGCTTATCTGTACTATTCTCGTATTTGATATTGCAAATTAGTATATGTCTAGTGATGGCAAAAGGCTTTTGAGTTAAAACAAAACTGAACAAAATACCACAAACGTTATACTTAAAACTTGGGGAAACTGCAAATTTCAGAGCCAATGTAGCAAGTGTTTGTCCCCCTTTCCCATCACCCCTTGCATCCTACACTGTCATTCCCAGGGCTACAGAACATCATTGCAGAAAGTCATTTTGGAGATAGTCTGCCTGGTTTTCCAGTTGTCAGATGCACTGTGCTGAACATTTTATGATATCTATTTCTTTATTGTAATTTCAAGCCACCACATGGAAAAGTTACTTCAGGAGTCCCTAAATTGAGATATTCCCTGTCTCTAATCATCTCAAAGTCAAAGCAATGGAATTATTTAACAGATCTAAATTAGCATCTCTGTTAGACACACACGTCATGATTGAACATTTTCCAGTCATGATTATGCTAAATGAGTATGTGTGTATGTATGTATGTATCTCATCATGGGATGGATTTTAGAGTTGTTATTTCTTTTTCCCTGCATCATAAATCGGTATAGAGTAAGCAATAGCAGATATACTTTTAGGAACAGACAGGTGAAATATAACAACACTACTAATCAAATGAATGTGCCTTCCACATGGAGAGAAAATTAAAGTGATTCATAATTTTTTCTCATCACTAAGTATATATTTTGTGTGGTTATGAATTTGCATATATACAATTGATTTTGAAAAGACCAAGTCCATTCCATCTACTTGACTTTAACTTGATTTTATAGAATGGAAAGGCATGAGGATTTTCACAGAATTGTATATTCTCTACTTCCTTGTAATGGGTAATTCTTCAAATAGGTTTTGAGTGGGTGGGTTGGTAGGGGTTAGTGCAGTATTCTTAACTCTTCATATGACAGATTTTTCTACCCAAAATAATATTCTGTAGAGATTAAAAGTTAACTATGAGGAGGGAAACAATAAAGACACTGCCAATAAACTGGAAATAATGGTTTCTAGAGAAACAATCTTTTTAGGTGTCACATGTTTTGATAATATATTCATTACTTTGATTTATTTAAATTAAAAACGTCAACAGGAAAACAGGCTCCAATTTTTATTGTCCTAAAAAACAAATAAGCTCAAGTCATATCTTTTCTTTAGAGAAGATGAATCAAATAAATATGGTTAAGTTTGAGCTTCCTAAAATGGGTTCCCAGTTGTTACATTACCAGTACATTTTGAAAATACCCTATAAAAAGTAACTTCTAATGTAATTTACTAGAGCTTTCTTTTCTGGTGTTAATTACTACCTCATGCAAGCTGAATCCTATGAGCTGTTGTGACTGCATGTATCCCTCTAAAACAGAACCATGTTTCCTTCCTTCTGTTTCCTTCACTGAGAAGTTTGATTCATTTTCTTTTAAATAGTACATTCTTTTCATTCTAGTTTTGTTTCATATCTGAGTACTGTACTGCTGTCATTGAATATATAATTTTTTGGAAATAGCTGTATATGATTATATGAGCAATAGAGGAAACAGGGTGGTGTGGGGTTTTATAGAGATTGCCTATAATTACTAGGCTGGGTGTTTTGTTTGTTCTGATGTTACCTTCTGATGGCTTTATCCATAGGCATTTAAAGTCTCTTTACTGAGCCACAGGAGGTTCCTTGGTGTCCCTGATTAGTTAGCTGCAGAAGCTAATTCTGGTTGGCCTGGTATATAATTTTTGATAGAAGCATTTTTGTGTGCATGTGTGGCAGCAGTAACCGAACCTCATTCTATGGTATCACCCCTCCAACACGCACTTTCCTTGTTCATATAGCTCTCAAAATGGCAATCCTGCAACTTTTGGCATGAGGATGTCTCCCAAACTGTTTTGATTTGGCCAGCTAATAAGATGAGTTGAAGTTTCCTTGAAATTCTTAATGACTCTTGAAGAATGGGAGGAGTTCTTTACAAACCCATGAGTTTCATGACTAGAATTTTGTTACAAAGCCCATGAAGCCTGTTGTTCCTGTAACAAATTAGTGAACCTAACAGTTTCATACAGCCTGTGTTCCTTAACTTCTCCTACATCTCCAGGTATACAACAGGTAGAGATGTATGTGCTATGTATACTTGCCTGGCCTTGCTTCCATTTAATCTGGCTCCCTGGCATGAGAGAGCCTGGAGCAGAGTGCTGGCTGACATCCAACACTGACCAGTATCATTATTCTTGCTTTGGCTGACCAAGGCCTTGATCCAGCTTCACTGAACTCTCCCACTGGCTTCCATGAAGGCTACACTAGGACTTACAATCCCAAAGCCAGATAATTTTACAGCAGGGCTTTTACGCTATCCTTTACAGACCTGGGAGAAACTATCAATCAGGGTGAGGGAGAGGGGAGGACAGCCAATTAGCACAGATTTTCCTGGCCCTGAACACTGTGCTGCAGATTTGTGCAAATTGGACCATCCTATTCCCCCTCCTTCTCCCCATCTAAAAACCTAATAGGTAGTGGCTGTACTGTCAACTTGATTGGTGGGTGTAAAATGCATGGGAGAGGCCAGCTGTTAATTTCTGCTAAACATGGGCCTCTATTATGCTGCTACCACCAGTGTGGTGTTTGGGTGAAAATAGATGCTAACTGAAAAGAAAAAGAAAGCATTTCTCTAATTCACCCAGAGGAAATGTTCCTTGCCACTCTGAATAAAAGCTCAGCCCAGAAAACATGAAATCATTCTGTATTAAAAGAGAGCATTAAAGAGGTCAGTAAGCCCTGATGCCTCCAAGACAATCATTTAAACAGCAGTCTTTTCCATCCTGGCCTGTGCTGCAGCTAGGTATGTAGAGTGAGCAGAAGGCAGCTCCAAGACACATTGTTAACAGGTAAAGATTTGTCATCCACATGAGTCGTACCTCTTTTCTTGGTATTTTATATTGTCCGTTTTTCTTCTTTGTTATTCCATATCAGTCCAGATTTTCTGGCTGAGCTCTGTTAAATTTTGTTAGTTAAGCTATAGCCACATTTAGATACGGCTGCCCCAGAATCACTTTTTTTTTTTTTTGTGGAGAAGTTGTAACTAACACATCCCTTGGTAACTTCAACTGTCATCCAATTTGACTTAGGAAAATAATTTTAATATAATTGTCCCCCTTACCCCCCAAATATTTCTTTGTGGCAAACTTGCTTTGCCTATTAACACAGGCAATAAGAAAGTTTTAGTATTTTATACCAAGTGTAAGGAAGGCCTGATTTTCAGAGGTACCAATGATCCCCAACTCCAAATGAAACCAATGTTGTATTGTGTACTCAGCACATCTGGAGATCAGACCTCAAAGGTACTGTGTGAGTGAATACATGACATGCTCTGTTGGAAATGTAACATTTACCTACTCCATGAAATAAGTTTAGAAAATTATTTCAGAAGTGGAATTTTCCTCTTCCTTACATTGACACCCATTACAGCGGTGGTTTTGTTTTTATGCTAGAACATACGATGGGGGACTATGAGGGGCAGGGGAGGGAAGACTGTCAGTTGAAAAAACCCCCATAATCTATGAGCGCTTAATGCATTGTCTTGATGAAGTTGTCTCTGTCTTCTTGCAAAGCTGGAGATGGCCTGTGGATCACACATTGTGCAGAAGTGAATTACTTTTTTTAAACAGGAAACAAGTTGCTTTTGTAAAGAACACACTGTTTGATTAATATGTTGAAATTACTCTAGGGGGAAAAAACTAATTACAAATGGAAACACATTTGTCTGTCATTGGGGAAAATTGATGATCTTGTTGCTACAGCTGCTTTTGCAGCTACAGGTAATCTTATCCAACTTGTGAGTTGCAGTTAACCTTAGCAGACAAAACCCAGCTAACTCCAGTCTAAGCACTGGTGAAATTTAATCTTATACTGATATCAGCTGATGTTCAGCTGGTACGAGGTGGGATATAGTCTTTAATGACAAAGAGCTGACCTAGTGCGAGCTAGTTTTCAGCAACAAATACCTCCTTGCTATTTAAATGCTAAGGTATTAGTTGCAGAATGTCTGAGTCTTACAGCTACGAGCTTCTGTAGCCAGGAGAACCATCCTGATGACACCATTACTGTTCATCTGCCCAAGGAGGGCAGGATTTCAGTGGGACTTTAGTACAGTACGTTTCATCATGGTGTCTCTGTTGCTGATTATACGAAGAATAAACTGTTGTATATGCTGATCTGTATGTTATGTACATTTTCACAGTGATTGAATCATTGTAAACAAAAATGAAAAAAGAATCACCGTTCTGTCTATTTTATGAAGATAAAGCAGCTTTATTAAATTATTACAATTCTGTTTCAAAATGGTGTACCTGCCACAATGTTTCTTTCATCTGATGAGAATTTTGTTTTCCACTTAAATGTGATTTTTTTTTCCTCTGCTTTGAGAATCTAATGCATTTTAGTATTAAAGGCAATTATTGAATAAAATGGAAAATAAGTGTTTGGTTAACTATGGCTAAGTGGGTTTGCTTATGGCTGACTCGGGTTGTCTGTCTTACAGAAACCAAAGCGAATCTAGGTATTCACACGGTCTCATCTTAAACCAGTGGAATTCCAACTGGTGTTAAAATAGATACTGTAGTATTTAGAGACAGTGACTCAGCTTTTAAGAAATGAACTCAGTGTGAGGTGCTGAAATATCAGATCTGGAAGAGGATGGCTGAAGGAGAAATTCATCCCAGCACATATGGATCAAGTGTTTCTTTCTTTTAAACTCCATTTATGCCCCCTGCCCTGGGGATAGCTTAGAGGTGATTTTCAAAGGAAGGAAAAAAAAGTAGGTTGTGCCCTTTTCTAATTTCTGATATTTGTAAGGAAGTCCTGAAAATTTTCCTCTACTTTTTTTCTATCGTAGAAATATTACGGAAGTCAAGTCTGACCTTCCCTGGCTTTGGGAGAGGTCTCTTTGGAGAACCTACAAAAGTGGATTTGGAACTTCCTCAGCCCTTAATTGATGGCTTATTTCTATTTCTTGTTGGTTCTGAGGCCATGCTGGTCAGTGTAGTGCCTGAGTGCTTTTGAAAAGGAGGGGGTAAATTTTACTCATGAGAGGGTTGTTCCTGGCCATTTTTTGTTAACTTCATCTGTGGCTCAATGTAATGACACTTGATGTTGGAATTCTAGTGAACAATTGAAAACAACGAAAAAAGAGCTGTCTGTTGGGGCCCATTTGAGGAGTTTCTTTAGAAATAAGTGAGAAAGCAGAGTAGATGGTGGTGGTGATAGAAATAATAGTTTAAAAAAGGATTTGTATTTGCTGTCTTTAACTTTGAAGCAACGGCTAATGTTACAGGTTAGAAAAGTATGATCATGGTACAATAGTAATAGCTCCTGCAGGCTTTTCCTTTTAAAAAACAGCTGTGTTCTTAGATGTAACACTTGGGTCATAAGAAGGAAATTGCTCCATGCTGCACCATGTGGTAGAAAATACCTATGCTTGGCAATTGAATTTTCCAAAGAAATCCATACAGCCTGGATCTGATATTCTCTGTGCACTCAAAACTCTGACTGCCTTTAATCTAGAGCAGTAAGGGGAAGGAGGAGTGCAGGGTTTCAGGCCTGAGTGGGCTTTTAATTAAAAAACATTCATTGGGGCTAAAATTGCCCCATTTTGGAAGTTCTGTACTTTGCCCTCTGCACCACTTAAAACCCACATCAAAGACTTTACCCATGCGTAGGGAGTCAATTTCAGCCATGCATTTATAGGCTTTTACCTTATGGATTGATTTTTAGCAAATTAATTTTTAACATTAAATTCTGTAGGCTGTTCATTTCCTTTTGAAAGCTGGCAAGTAGACTTTCATGGCCAGAAAAGCATCTGAGTCAGTCTGTTCCACAAGAGTCCCAGGCTTTCAAAACAGCTCAGCACATTGAACTGTCACAGACCATTCCATTAGTGTCACCAAGAGAGAGAATGGGGCCAAGCACTTTTATTTGTTCTTAAGTCACTTTGTATCATGACAGAGCCTAGGAACTCCACTGGAGGATCAGGGCCTGCTGTGCCACATGCTGTACAGGCAATTAGCAGAGAAGATGTCTTTCTGCTTCAATCTGGGTGGCAGGGTGACATGGGTGTATAGTAGAGACATGGGGATAAGGAGACACCAAATGAAGAGTTTAACACAAAAATGGAAGACAGATCTTAAAGTCAGATTTACTTAGGAACCTAAATGGGAACGAAGCTCCTCGGCAAAACTGGTTTCACTTGTAGGAGCTGAACCCTTGGAAATCTAGCCCCACACATCTGTTAGGGCTGTGTAAATCTGTGCCAGCCCTGAGTGTAGTTGGACTGCCATAATAGACGCCCCATAGAAAAAGTCCATAAAAAACCCAGACCTCTTGACTTTAGGTAATTCATCATGGTGCAGTGACTTGTGTACCACATAAGCCCTTATATGGGCACGTTACTTTTAATATGCGGTTTACATCATGTGGAGATTGTTGTATGAATCTTTTGCAATGTAGTCTACCTTCTCCCCTTTGGGCTAATTATAGACTAGACTATTTTTTTCTGATGGAAATTTTCTTGCAATAGGCTTTCCACTGATGCAGCTCCAACATGAATACCTATGGTAGGAACACTAGCATAGATAGGATATGGAGGGTTGTACTGCCATGTGGCTTAACCCTGCCCCCAGGAAACACTACAGTAAGAAAGCTGGTGAATATTGTTGCTATAGCTACACAGGGGAATTTTTTCAGATTATTTCATTTTAATAAATGATGAAATCCTACCCTTTAAAGGGACATGATCAGGTGAAGAGGGTGTCCTTGACAGTCTGTCCTGCTTCAGTAACAACTCCTGTGTGATCCACCAGACAAAGAACTTCACTCCCTACACTGGACTGGGTAAGGTCGAGAAGACTTAGAAATAGTTTTTACTGCTCTTGTGGGTGTGAGAAGAGAGAGGAACTCCTGGGTGATTTAGAGGCAGTGTCAATGAAGATCTCATCGTTGCTCCACAGACAAAAAGTTTCCTGTAATTCAAGGCCTGGCTGGTGGGCTGTGAACAGGAGCATTCTGGAACTTTGGACAGAGTGAGGAGCTCTAGACCCAATGACACTTACCAAGCTGTAATTGAAGTGGGAGTGGGATGGTAGGTAGGTTCCCTACCCTGTGCTCCTTTCCTGATCTCCGTTTTGGCCTTCTGCTTCCTGCTCTGTGCTCACTGCCTGATCTCCTCCTTTGCCTTCTGCTGTGCTGCCTATCCCCCTCCCTGATTAGCTGTTGTGCCACAGGTTGGCCATCTCTGCATTAGAAGACTCCATAGCTCACACAACATTTGGCCTGACATTGCTCACTTGACTGTCTAGGCAGAGTGCAAGGCCTCTCTATTCCCCAGTCTTGGGGTGAGGGATGGCTAGCAGATACCCAAATATTCAGGTTAGGAGGCTCTTGGGGGTTCTTACAAAGTAAATCAGTTTGAATATGGTCTAAACAACATACATAATAATGGCTTCTTTGCTGCAGCAATAGCTGCCATGCAGCTGGGAACGGAGATTATCTTGGGTTTATGGAAATGTGTCACCCTGATGCCTGACAGAGCGTTCCACATAGTTCAGGAGTTGGCTCCTGCTCAGTGGCTCCTTTTCCCTGTGTACGTGACTGCCCAGAAGTCAGGTTGAGCACTGAGTGGCTTTAACCATGCTTTTACCTTTAGACTACTGTACTTGGATGTTGGCACTCCCTTCATGGGTTTGCTTTCTCAAATTCCTTGTAGTGTTTGGTGTCTCTGCAGCACCCATGGGGACAGTGCATTCTGTGATGTGGAGAGAGGAGTACATGAAGCACATGTGAGCTGCTTACCCCTTCAGGTATGTCTGGAAAGAACAAACATACTAAATTTGGACTACCAGGCATATCTCTGTACAGAACAGGCTACCACATGGCATTTGAACATCACTGGTGACTCTTTCAATTTCCTCTTCCTTTTCACTGACAGGCAGATTTCAAAAGAGTTCCTATTTAAAACACCTAAAACCTCGTGTCAGGAGGTCAGCAGGCCCTTTTCACAAGAAGCAGGCCCTTTTATTTTTATAAACCCACTTCAACTGTGTCTGGGTAATTGTTTTCCGTTTTAGGTGGATAGAAGACACCTGGTCTCCATAAAGGCTTAGGGCCAGGTGAGGAGCAGAGGGGGTTTGTTTCCTGTTTTGCCTGAGTGTGTTGTTGGAGCCTCACCAGGATATGAAGAGCTGCTGGGGAAGAAAGAAGGAAAAAGCTCAAAGGTAGGAGAGGAGTATTGGGATGTCTGCCTGTTACTCATTGAACCAAGGGAGGAGTGAATAGAAGATCTCAAGGAGCTGGCATTCTGGGCAAAAGCTGGGAGCTCGGGGGAATGTAGGAGGGATTGGGAGTTTAAGCATAGGGTATGCAGATGCTGATTGCTTTGTTCCGTGTGGCTGCTGGTGTTTGGTTACCAGGCAGTAAGGGAGAAACTCAGAGTCCACCACTTTGACTGAGGAAGGGTTCTGTAGAAGCCCGTGGCTGACCAGTTTGGGAGAAGAGCTTGTTTGTTTTTATTTAAATGCCTTCTATTAACAGACTGAAGGGTATTAGTGGACTCAAAAAACATGAATGGAGTTTTTCAGTGGCACTGAGGAGCAGGGGTCTCTACTCAACTGTGTAAAGTGCTCTAGGAAAATAGGCCTTGTAACCTCAGTGTAGGCATTGCAGATTTGTCCTTAATGGTGTGATTCAAGGCTCTGTGGAGCCCCAGACCAATGCCTATGCCTCTCTAGATTTAGGGTTTAAGTGGGGTATAGACCTTGTATGCAGGGATAAATTTTACTGCATGGTCTTAGTCCATCTCCCTTTGGCCTCACTGAAATGGCTGGAATGGACCCCTGTGAGAATTTGTTTAGGCTTTGATTGGAGAAAACTCTCCTAACCCTAATAGGGTCATTCCATGTGCTGTAAGGCTTTTGGTTGCAGCCAGGTGAGAGAAGTCTGAACCACCAGTTCTCCAATATCTCCCCCTCTTTGTACTCCTACCCAGCTTTCTGCAATTTTTGTTTCTTCTAGAACACCCCAAACTGCTCCCATCACCTACAGTTCCTGCAGGTTTAGACAATAACGTTTGTGTTAAAGTTTGCATAAATAACAGATCCAGAAATGGATAATGGCTGATGAGGTGAGGAGGATGACTTACAGCAATGAGTGAATAAGAAAGGGGTGGCTTTTCGAAAGTGCCCGTTCAGAAATGATGCTGGCCCAGACTAACGTGCTAAATTTTATTTCTTTCAAGGCCTCCTTCCTTCCACAGATAGCGTGAGGGACCCAATTCTCAGCCTTCATAAACCAACCCATCTCCACTGATGTCTGTGCAGTTCTGCTGGTTTTCATCAGGTAGGTATTTAACTTGCAATTTTTAATGGCAATATGATCTATGCCCCATGCATGGAATGCAGCTGTGACTTTCTGACTGGTAAAGGGATACATTTGATATTTACTGTGAGATCTTTATATTTCTTTCAAACTTGCAAATGCAATCTGGAATATATCAAAACTATAAGCAGTGTCTTGTCACTGGCAAAAATACAAAAGGGACTGCTAATGGGTTGAAGCCTGTCACCTTTGAGGCTGTCCAGGCTGCAGGAAACTGCTACTGTCTGGTGGCTTTTTAGGGCACCTATACACGAGCGCTGAGGCTGCTCCAATGTGCTGAAAAACCAGTGTGTTAGAGTAGACTCTTTAATCAAGTCAGCTGGGGCATGGCAATTGCCATGCTTCACCAGCCTCCTGAGTCTCATGTATCACTGTCACTGTACTTAAAAATGGCAGTGAGGGTGCTTGACCTAAAGCTTGGTCGACCAAGCTTTAGTTTAGGTACATTCGCTGCCATTTTCAAGTGCAGGGATACTGATACAGGAGATGCAACAGTGCTTTAGGGTGGCTCTGAGATCTGCTTCAATTAAAATGCCACCTCTCCCACCCCCAGGGCATGTGTAAAAGTGTCCATAGTGGCCCGTGAGACCCCATCTAGTGGATAGTCTCAGCAGGTGGCTGCAAATATCGGCTATTCCTATCACAACTGGGCCAGGATTTAAAGGGCTGTGGAGATGGGCCTCCCTTCTCTCCTGAAAAGGGACTAGGTGATCTCTTGAAGGCACAGTTGTCTAGCATCATTTATGTAGATACCCAGGAGCATAGTGGCACACCTGCCAAAGGAAATCCTGATGCAGCAGGTCCCTTTAGTTGGAACAATGCTACCTTGGCAGGTCCCACACTGAAATTCCTGTTTTTGAGGATGATCCATGGTGGAAATGGGCCAGGAAGCATGGCCGGGTGTCCCCCTGCTTCTGTCACACCTATAGGGTCTTGGAAGAAGGCAGGAAGGGGTACAAGGCAGGACCACTCTTGGACTCTTCTCATCTGCTTCAGGGACTGACATGGCCTTTGTCAGCTCCAGCACAGGGGAGGGGGCAAAGCTGCTACTGCTTCATCCCTATGCTGGGATGATTTCTTCTAACTCTGTTTCCTGGGCTGACCTCAGCACTAAATTAACTCAGAATAGAGAACGAATAAATTAGCAAAAATACAGCCAGTTCTTTACCCAGGCAAGGGTCAGAGCTGGTTCAAAGAGACAGATCTCACTCTCATTCCTTTTGAATATTATGTTTATATGACATTTGAAATTAAGCTGGAATATCTAGACATAGGCAAATTGGATTAGCTGGCTATGAATTATCATGTAGTTTCTCTATTAAGCCCACAAAAGAAAGAACAAACAAATTGAAGGAATCAAAGCCCTAAAATCACAGCGTAAAAATAAATATGTATTGTCTGAATGAAATGAAGCTGCTCTATATATGTCACAAGAAAAGAAGTCAAGAGGCGTGGGAGAGAGAACCTGAACCTACACTCATGGTGTTCCCCAGCAGTGAAATAAAGGCTTCAGGGGGTTTGAGAAAGCTAGGGAGCCCCAGTGCAATGTTTCTATACCTGATATATGTATAGTATCAGTGATCCTGTAGTTGTGCTAGGGGCTAAATACAAAGCAGATGGAGAAATGCCCTCACAGAAATCTCCTCTCTCCCATCTACATTGCCAACACCACATCCTAGTGATGAAATAACCAGTCCTTAAGGAACTGGGGACCTCTGGGTAGAGGGCCTGTACCCTTATCTGTATCAGCTAGGTTGAGGGTGTGTGCCCCAATATATGTTTCTGAGCTCTGGTGTCTCGGATTATGTGAGAATTGAGGAGATGGAAAGCCCAACTGCAGATGAGGAGCGTATTTTAACAAAGGTCTCCACAAAATCTTTAGGGACAGCCTTCTCTGTAGTGATGCACATCAATGGCTTCTAATGCGTTGGAACCTAATAACCTGTTAAGAGGCTGATTAGTGAACACCATGCCAGCAAAGAAGTGGAATTTTGTATCCTCTACGGTAACTTTCTAAAACAGTAGGAACCCTTTGGTATCTAGAAGTCCCTACTATGGACTAGGTTTGGGGTACTAACTGTATGTATATAGTATCATGGAGACTGTATAGTCAGTCAAAAAGTCTGAGGCTGAATTGATTCAGTATTTGCAGGTTAGTCTAAACTGCACAAATTAAACTGAAACAGAAGCGAACAGACACTTATCTTTGATTCAGGAAATACAACCATCCAGCGTAGGGTGTCAAGGGCCCGCAGCAAGGCGGTAGCCCTAGACTTCAGGAGGGCCAACTTTGTTGAGATGAGGAGATTAGTGGGAGAGGCACTGGGGTCCTTGAGGGCAGAGGAACTCAGTGTCCAGGACGAGTGGTCGTTCCTTAAGGAAACGATACTCACGGCCCAAGGGGTGTCCATCCCGACAAGAAGCAAGGGGGGCAGGAGTGTCCGGAAGC